AGTTGAAAATCTGTAAGCACTAACCCTTCCTTCCCCTTAGCATTTTTGCTGCATTTAACATAAAACAACTCATTGAAAACAATGTTTTCAAATTGCTATCAGAGCTGGATGCAATGTTTATTTGAGAATTTGGAAAAGGGACAACACAGTTCCTCCAGATTATTTCCTACCCCTACTAATTCTCTCTTACCCTTTTCCCTTTCAACTTGCTGCTGCCCTTCCTTAGAACTAACAATTGCCTTCTTCCTTGGCTAACTATTGCTCGTTTTTCACACCGTATCCGCTCTGACATCCTCCTTTCAGTGCTGGTCTGAAACCTCCTTATCTGTCCCTGTGTTGGTCTCCTACCTGCTCCGGTACCACCCGGAATGGTGCCCTCTCTAGGTACCCAGCCCAATTATATCACCCTCCATGAGAGGGCAAGCCCCCTGAGAGCCAGGTGGGACACACTTTGTAAACTGTCCCCTTTTCTGAAAAGCAGAAAGATTAGAAAAAACGGACGTGTTTCTTCACACTCTGTGCCCCTTCTCACACATAGTGCTCACTAGCTCTCTCTCTGACACACACAGGCACAATTAGATGCTCGCACATGCCAGAGACATAGACAAACTGTCACACTCACAAAGTATGAAGTTGTCATAACGACACATAATCACCAAGCCTCTGTCAAAACAGAAACATATCTGAGGCAGGATTTGAAACCAACAACTCTAAGTCAGTCTCTTGTCAGTCCTCCAGCATCCTCTAAAATCAATGGCAATAATTATACTCTTCCTATGGGCTAGAAATCAGAGATATGAAGGGTTTAATACCAAATGCTACGGAGAATCATAAAATACGAGTGAAAGTAAAGCCAGCCCAAAGACTGAGCTTTGAGTTTCCTCTGGAAGCACATTGCTAAGAATACACACTCCAACAAACCCTGAGCCCAAAAATAGCTCTTGCATTTACCAAATGATCTTCTCAGTTTACACCTCTTCCAGCAGCATAAAACAAAATGCATGTAATCAAATATTCACATTTCTAAAAGAAGGGTGATTTGGCTAAATACAATGCTTAATGCAGTTGTAAAGATTCGAGCAACTTTACATTCAATTTTAAAAGTGCCTTTTCCAATGTTAAGCCCTTAAAACTGTCTTTTGCCATGCTGAATATGTCATAAATCAACTAAAGAATGAATATTTCAAATCACAACTTCCTTACAATGTCAACCAGTCAATATTTCAATTTCAGCAACACTGACATTTTACTAGCAGTATTTGTTTACATTAACTATTTAAATATTATTACACTTGGGGCGCCTGGGTAGTGCAGTTGGTTAAGCAACCAACTCTTGGTTCCCGCTCAGGTCATGATATCAGGGTCCTGAGACTGAGCCCTATATCAGGCTCCATGCTCAGTGCAGAGCCTGCTTGAGATTCTCTCTCCTTCTTCTTTGTCCCTCCCACTCGTTCTATCTTTCTCTCTCTCTCTCAAAAATAAATAAATAAATCTTAAAAAAAAATATATATATATATATATATAGTTACACTTTGTCTTTACGATTCATTTTAAAAATTATTAGATAGTAGGAAAATAGCTAACTAGAGAAGATTGATTGCTTATGTGTTCGATTTTGAAGAAAATTTAAAAAATGTAACAAATCCTAGAAATACCTCATTAACTATTATGTCTAAAAGGTAAAATGTTAGCATTCTCTCTCTAGGAAAAAAATCTCATCACATGTAAATCAATCATTTAACTTTCTCCTATTAACTCTTCAAAGGTGATTTAGGGAACATAGAATATACAAGATCCAGGCTTCCCTGTATCAGTAAATTTACTCGAAGACATTAGTTTACATTTTAAAAAACAGAAATGAAAGTAGCTCCTAAAAATGGATGCTGTGGAACCCAGTCGTTTTCAGCCTTCTTCAGTGAATACTTTGGTTTTTAATACTGTGTCGTTAAGCTCTAGGAAGAAACATATATTTAGAATATTTAGAATGGTTTCTGAAAATCCATTGGATTGTTGATGTTAAAAAATATACACTCATTTTAATGCACTTTTCATACAACTCCAGTAATAACAGGGGTCTCTGTAATGGGCAGTAAAACCAACACACAAAATAACTGACATATCGAAAAACATTTAGAAAACTGAGAGTCATCTGAGAGACCAGAACCACCCTGCTCCTTAGGCCTTGTTCTCACCAATGCCCCAATCCTCCACTGCTTGGATGCTGGATCCATGAACAAAACAGGAAACAGGAACTTGGACTGGATGCAGTCATCAGACCCAACCATCAAATATATCGTACTCCACATCAATATCCTTTTCTCCTACCTCCACCAAAGCAGAGGTGAAGTTTTAATCATATTAAGAGGGAATACAGAGAAGTTACAAAGGTCTTTGCCAAGGAAAGGGAAAACAAATTAGTTCAGGAAAAGTTCTAAAAGTCTTCCTGAGATGGACTTAAGCGGCAGTATGACCTCGTGGCTGAAGTAATACTAATTTGAGTACACATTCTAGTAAGCAAAATTATCCTGAGGCTACACTAGATCATACTTCTAACATCTGAAAGAGAATAATGGTCAATCTCTGTTATGTCATATTGATACATTTTTTCTTCATAATGCACAGAAAGTTGCATACTCCACATTTTCCCCTCCTCTCTTCCTTCAATAAAAAATATATTTCTGTACCTTCTCATAGCTTTACTTCAGAAAGACTGATAATAATGACTTACTGAATGTTTTAAGTGGAAAAAAAATATCTATTAAGACCTTCGGACTACTGAAATTATAACTGAAAGTAATTCTCAGCAAAGCAGGAAACCATTAAGTAAGTATAGAAAAGGACTTTCAGTTTTATACATCTAAAAGTCATTTCACTTTGCATAATGAACCAATCATTTTCACTAACAAATAAATTTATGGCATCATTTAGCCAAGCCATTAGTCAAAACTTAAAGTTTTCAATAGTTTTATTTCCTTCTACCTTAAGTTGTTTTTTGATTTAAAGAAAAGGGAATTGCTTTTACGTGACACTATCAAGAACATGGAAAGACAACTCACAGAATGGGAGAAAATATGTGCAAATAATACACAGAGAATATATAAAGATCTCTTAGAATGCAATAATAAAGGGTGCCTGGGTGGCTCAGTTGGTTAAAGCAACCGCCTTCGGCTCGGGTCATGATCCTGGAGTCCCGGGATAGAGTCCCGCATGGGGCTCCCTGCTCAGCGAGGAGCCTGCTTCTCCCTCTGACTCTCCGCCTCTCGTGTACTCTCTCTCATTCTCGCTCTCTCAAATAAATAAATAAATCTTTAAAAAAAAAAAGAATGCAATAATAAAGACAATTTAATTTTTAAAATGAGCAAAGGACTTAAGTAGGTATTTCACCAAAGAAGATATATGAATGGCCAATAAGCAGTGGAAAAGATACTTAATGGAAAAGCGCTGGGAAAATGCAAATCAAAACCACAGAGATAGCACTTCACAACCAGTAGATGGCTATAAATAAAAAAAATAAGACAGTAACAAATGTTTGTGAGAATGTGGAGACATTGTAACCTTTACATATTGTTGGTTGGACTATAAAATGGAAAACAGTTTGGCAGTTTCTCAAAATGGTCAATATGAAGCTACCATATAATCAAGTAATTCCAGGCCTAGGTATATACCCAAGAAAAATGAAAACGTGTGTTCATGCAAAAACTTGTACACGAATTTCAGAGAAGCATTATCTGTGGTGACGAAAAAAAAAAAATGTAACAACCCCAATGTCCTCCAATTGATGACCGGATAAAATGTGGCATATCTATAACAATGGAGTATTATATCGCAGTAAAAAGGAAGGATGCAAATTACAACATGGATGAACTTCACAAACATTATGGTAAGAGAGAGAAGACAGTTACAAAAGACCACATATTGTAAGAGTCTGTTTATAGGAAATGTCCAGAGTAGGTACATCTGGAGAGTAAATAGATTAGTAACTGCCTAGAGCTAAGTGTAGGGAATGGGGGGATGGGGAGTGACGGCTAAGGTTTCTATTTGGGGTGATGATTGCAAAACTCTATAAATACACTAAAAAAGCACTGAATTGTATACTTTAAATGGGTGACTTATGGTATCTAAATTACATCTCAATAAAGCTATTGAGAAAGGAGAGGCGGATGCAATCATGCATTGTATTTCTTGGTGCCTCTGAAGATTGAATGCTAAGATTACTTAGGTGTTTCATCACTTAGAAAAACTGTTTCCATGTTCAGATCTAATACCAAACAAGACATGAAAAGAGAGTGTCACTGAGGGAAGTGTCACTGAGAGTCCCGGAGATAGTCGCAGAAAAATACGTGCATTCTTAAGCATGCGTGTGTACTAAAACAGATCCACAGAACATAGGTCTGCGGCACGGCCTTAGCAAACAATGAACAGATACTTCTCAACGGAAGGGAAGACGCGATGAAAGCCAGTAAAACGGCAGCGTTTCCAGGTGCACAAGAATCTCCAGCTGATCGACCCTAGGGTCCGCCCCCCGCATAATTACCAAGGATCTCAAAGCTTGAGCAGTAATCGGCAAATGAAGAGAGACAAAAGAACTCAAGGGCTAGCTCCCGACACAGGGGACCGCTATCACGCACCCTAAGCGGCGGCTCCGCGTGGGAGGCTGAGGCCGGAGCGCCGCAGCTCCCGCGGCCAGCGCGCTCGCCTAGCCTCCCAGCGTTATTCCACCGCCCGGCGGCGCACACTGGAGCAAGGGGGCGGTCTCGGAAGCACAGCGGTCACAGGACGCAGGTCCCCGGCTAGCGCGAGCAGCAGAGGAAATCACGGTGCGCCGACACCCAGCCACCCGCCGGGGCTCGGACTGTTCCTCTTGCAGCCCCTGTCTCGCGCAGGGCATGCCACCCAGCGAACGTCCCCGGGATCCAGGCCGCAGGGCCGCCAACGTCCCCCGGGGTCCCCGCGCGCCCAGCCCGACCCTCCCCCGCGCCACTGAGTCCGCCGGCTCCTACCTTCCTCCTGCACCATTTCCAGGACGTTTGGGTCGCCCATCTTCGCCAGCTCGTTAATGACACCGACCGAGTGGTGGCAGATGGACCACTGCGACTGGAGGTGAGGTCTAGGGTAGACGTTGACTCGAATCGTGGGCCGCTGGCTTTGCTGCCCCGACGACACCCAGTTGGCCAAGTTTTCGTCCGTCTTCACTCTGAGGACCTCCTTCTCCTCGGTCTCCACCAGCCTCGGGTCCTTCAGCCAGCTGGGCTTCTTCTCCAGCCGGTGCTTATTCTCGACCTGCTTCGTGCCTTTGGCCCTGCGCTTTACCTCCCTCTCCCGGTAGCGCTCCTGGGTGCCCTCCCAGTACCTTTCCCGGAGCTTCCCGGGCTCCGGGACTCCCCGGCTCCGCAACTCCTCCCTTAGCTTGCGGATACTCTCGGCCTCGCAGGACTGCCCCTCCGCTTTCACCCCGTCCCTCTCTCCCCGCCCCTCCGCGCCCCTCCCCCCCTCCGGACCCGCCGCCGCCGCTCCCTCGGGGGCCGCCCTCGCCCCGCCCCTCGGCTCGGCGGGCGCCCAGCCCGCCCGCCCCTCCCTGCTCCCGCCGCCCGAGCCCGTGGGCCTCGGCTCCTCCGCCTCCTCGGGGCCCGCCGCCTCCGGGACCGCCACGGGCCCCGCCGCCTGCCGGCTCCCCTGGCCGCTCAGCCCCATCAACAGGCCTTGCTGGTCCCCTTCCACCCGGTTGGCCCACACCCAAGACAGCTGGTCCGCCCGGCCTGCCTCCTCCCATCTCACCGAAGCCGCCTCCTCCGGTCTCCGCCGACCGGCCTGCTCCTCTTCCATCGGCCGAGCCCTCCGCCTTCCGCGGGTGGCACTCGGAGGGAACCCCCTCCCAGTTGAGGAGTTACTTTTTGTCGGGTGAGGAAAAGCCCCCCTTCCTTAAGGGGGCCCCTGCTTTAAGGATGGCGCGTGGGCGGGTCTCCGAGGATCCTGCAGCCTCTCCCTTCCGCCGCTGCCACCTGCCGCGCGGGTCTTTTCTCCTGGCCCGGCTTCCTTCCTGGGCGCTAAACCCGATCTCTGTCTAAGACAGTTGCGGACAAGTCAGACACTTTTTACCTGAGTTCGAATTCAAGCAATGCCCCTTAAAAGTTGGACGCATTGTGCGAGTCTCTAGAAGCTTCAGTTGCCTCATCTTTAAAATAAGAACAAAAGCACCTACCTCCCAGGGTGTTGTGAGGAGTGCAGAGTGGTAGCATAATGGGCTAAAATTCAGCTGCTCTCAGAACTCAGCCATGTTACATTGAGCCCTGCTCCACCTCAAAGTGTCCCTTAGTGCCTCGAGCAGAGGAAATGGCCCCACTCTTCACAGGCTCCTCTGAACTGGTCCTGTGTGGTTGAGATCCTATCAACTGCCAGCTCCCCAATAATTGGGAGGTAAGAATTATCGTCTAAGGGGGGGAAATAGATGAGGGACGGTGAACTGAGGGTGCGGTGGTGGTCTGAGCTGAAGGCCTTGACAGTGCTGAAAAGGGAGTGACTGAGTTTGGGGCAGGGATGGGGTGATTTAAGAATGAGGAGGAGATAACCAGGGAAAACTTGACCTTTCTTCATTTTTATGCTATTCTTTTTTTTTTCTTTTCTATTGACATTTTGGAACTGAGAATTACCTTTTACACGTGAGGAAACAGGCCTAGAAAGAAATGTTTTTGGTGAAGGTCACGGTTAACTGTGCAAATGAAAATCTTTTTTTTTTCTTCTTTCTTTTCTTTTCTTTCCTCTTCTTTCATTTTCTTTTTCTTTCTTCTTTTCTTCCTTTCTTTCCTTTTCTATACCATGCTCTCTGTTCCCTATTTAAACTTCTAGGAATGGCATCAGTTCTGGTCAAGCGATTTGAGACTAGAGACAATTCCTTACTTGATGCATTTTGGAATTGTGTTTGAAATATGAATGTACATAAGTTAAGCAATAGTCTTAAATGTGATCATAATAAATCACTAGTTATGATGTGTTTAGTTTTTTTTTTTAAGATTTTATTTATTTATTTATTTGACAGAGAGAGACAGCGTGAGAGAGAACAGAAGCAGGGGGAGTGGGAGAGGGAGAAGCAGGCTTCCCACTGAGCAGGGAGCCCGATGTGGGGCTCGATCCCAGGACTCTGGGATCATGACCTGAGCCCATCCCAGGACCCTGGGATCATGACCTGAGCCGAAGGCAGCCACTTAACGACTGAGCCACCCAGGCGCTCCAGTGTTTAGTTTTTGCCTCCTGATTATTAATCATTGTTTGATTCCAGTAAGATGTGGAACAACATGATGTATTTCTTGTTCTTCCCGTATACCAGTACTCTGCTAGGTGCCGTGATACATGATTAAACAGATGACTACAATCTTTGTTTTACATAGATTAAATAAAAATAAATGCAATAGTTATTTTTCTATAATTTTATAAATTTGTTTTATATTTCTTTATTCCGTACCATATTTGAAGTGACACATATGAGAAGACATTTCATGTTGATGATTTTGCACAAAAGTAAATGGAATTTTTGATGGTGTATTTGCTGATATTTTATCAACTTCTTGTAAACTTTGTTAACAAAAATTTGAAGGCTTCTTTTGTTCCTTTGGTAAAGGTCTTTATCTTACCCATAACTCTTTGGAAATTTTCTCTGTATCCTTATCACTGAAATATTTTATATTGCTTATCCATTTATAATTTCAGGATCTGTCCATTTCCTCCATTGCTACATCCTGCATCTTTCAACAGAATCGTCAACAACACATTTCCAGAATTTTGTTCTGAATAATGAATACATGTTCTTTTTTAAAAATTTTTTTATTGTTATGTTAATCACCATACATTACATCATTAGTTTTAGATGTAGTGTTCCATGATTCATTGTTTGTGCATAACACCCAGTGCTCCATGCAGAACGTGCCCTCCTCAATACCCATCACCAGGCTAACCCATCCTCCCACCTCCCTCCCCTCTAGAACCCTCAGTTTGTTTTTCAGAGTCCATTGTGTCTCATGGTTCATCTCCCCCTCTGATTTCCCCCCCTTCATTCTTCCCCTCCTGCTATCTTTTTTTTTTCTTAACATATATTGCATTATTTGTTTCAGAGGTGCAGATCTGAGATTCAACAGTCTTGCACAATTCACAGAGCTTACCAGAGCACATACCCTCCCCACTGTCTATCACCCAGTCACCCCATCCCTCCCACCCCACCCCCCACTCCAGCAACCCTCAGTTTGTTTCCTGAGATTAAGAATTCCTCATATTAGTGAGGTCATATGATACATGTCTTTCTCTGATTGACTTATTTCGCTCAGCATAATACCCTCCAGTTCTATCCATGTCATTGCAAATGGCAAGATTTCATTCCTTTTGATGGCTGCATAATATATATACCACATCTTCTTTATCCATTCATCTGTCGATGGACATCTTGGCTCTTTCCAAAGTTTGCCTATTGTGGACATTGCTGCTATAAACATTGGGGTGCACGTACCCCTTCAGATCCCTACATTTGAATCTTTGGGGTAAATACCCAGTAGTGCAATTGCCAGATCGTAGGGTAGCTCTATTTTCAACTTTTTGAGGAATCTCCATACTGTTTTCCAGAGTGGCTGCACCAGCTTGCATTCCCACCAACAGTGCAGGAGGGTTCCCCTTTCTCCGCATCCCCACCAACATCTGTCATTTCCTGACTTGAATACATGTTCTTTTAATGTAATTGAATACATAGTTAAGTACTGGATCGGGGTCAAAAAGTTGTCTTAAAAAAAAAAAAATCCTTGGCACATAGGAGACATTAAGTAAATGTGAGTTTTTGTCTTCGTTTTGTACATACTCAATGATTTCCTTGGCTCTTTCATCATCTCTCAGCAAAAGGTCCCTTTTATTCTCATTTACTATTTTTCCCCATTAACTATCCTTCTTTAAGACTTTCTCTCAAATATCCAGCTCCACACTTACTTCCCACTGAAAATTTGTAAGTTCCTGGGGCGCCTGGGTAGCTCAGTCGGTTGGGCATCTGAGTCTTGATTTCGGCTCAGGTCACGATCTCAGGGTCGTGGGATCAAGCCCCGTGACAGCTCCATGCTCTGTGTGGAGTCTGCTTGTCCCTCTCCCTCTGCTCCTTTCCCTGCTCGGGTGCCCGCTCTCTCTCTCTCTCTCTCAAATAAATAAATAAATAAAATATTTTTTAAAAGAAAGAATTTCTAAGTTCCTCACAAAATTTATGTCACCTGTGTGTTCTAACATTACCTTTATTTGAACAAATCAATCTTCCTTCAAACTAGTTCAACTCCCAGCTCTCCTACTTATTTCAAAGTTGTCAGGGTTATCTCAAACTAGTGATAATAATTACAATAGCTACTATTATTCAAATATGTACCAAATAATGTGCTTTGCATGCATTACTACACTGACTTTGAATGATGATATAAGTAGGTACTTATTATCAGACACCTCTTGTGTGCACTGCACATCTTGGTTCACCCTTTCTTTTATTATTTTTTTTTTAAGATTTTATTTATTTATTTGTCAGAGAGAGAGAGCACAAGCAGGGGCAGTGGCAGGCAGAGGGAGAAGCAGGTTCCCTGCTGAGCAAGGAGCCAGATTCAGGACCCTGGGATCATGACCTGAGCCAAAGGCAGATGCTTAACCAACAGAGCCACCCGGGTGTCCCTCACCCTTTCTTTTAAAATCAACTTTATTGGGGCATAATTTATAATAATTATGATTATATTAATAATTAAACTCACCGATTTTAAGTGTACAGTTAGATAAATTTTGTGATATGTACGTCATCACCACATTCACTATATAGACTATTTCCCAAAACTATTCCATGCATTTGTAGTCAATCCCCTTGTCCCATCCCCTGGCCCCTGGCAATCACTGATATTCTTTCTATCACCAGTATTGGAGCTCTCCTTTCCATTCCAGTTTTTACTATGGGAATTACTTGTCCACATGTATAATTGGAAAGGATCTTGCCTCAACTCCACTGAGTATCTCATGTTTTCTGCCCTAGCATTTATCTACCACCATGAAGTCGGGTTCCTAAGTGTGTCTATGCTGCTACTCCAACACATGTGCAAACCTTTAAGAGGAAGGAAGTCAGCTGGGGCACCTGGTGGCTCAGTTGGTTAAGCATCTGCCTTTGGCTTGGGTCTTGATCCTGGGCCTGGGATCAAGCCGCATCAAACTGCACAGAGCTCCCTGCTCAGCGGGGAGCCTGCTTCTCCCTCCCCCTCTGCCCTTCCCCCCACTCATGATCTCTCTCTCTCTCTCTCTC